TTTTTTTTTTAAAAAAAAAGGAATAAGTAAATAATAATTATTACTAATGTAAATTTAAAATAAGACAGTTCATATTTAAATGAATTATATGACAAAAAAAGTATCACATTCCGATAATAATAAATAAAAAAGGGGGAGAAAGAAAAATTTTATTAATGAAGTTAATAAATAAGAAATATTTACCTTTTGTTTGAGCGCAGTTGAAAAAAAAAGATAATGGATGAATTTTGTCTTGACGAGAATATTTATAATGAAAAAAAAAGTTTTTTGTGAAAAAAAAATCGGAAGTTTAGTTAAATGTAACAAATTATAACAATTTTTTCTAGGCGAATACAAATCCATATTTGGTATTATTTATCACATTTTAAGGACTAAAACGCCGTATGATGTGTATGATGTTTATATTTTTCATTAACTATTATGTATTAATAGTTAGCATTAAGTTTTAAAAGAAATTTTTTTTTTTTTTTATAAATAATAATAAATATATATATATTTATATATAAATATATAAAGAATTGGTTTAGTTAAGCAAATTGCAGGAACAATCATTATATACATTCGTAAATGATATTCCAAAATGAACGCCGAAAAAAAGCAAAAAATAAGAAGTAAAAAAAAGACAATGCAACAATAGACAAATAGACAAGCTAACTAAAGGAATAAATAAATCAGTTTATGTTTATATTTGGTCATATGTTCATTATAGAATAAACTGAAACATGGCACTGTTAAGAACGTAAAATGATGACATACACTCGGCCAAAAAGTTGAATATAATGGAGTAATGTAAAAATGAAAAAATGTCATTGTTTAATACATAAATGTAGATCATTGCCTTACTAATAAGTTAATATAATGGTAATATATAATTGGATGTTACACAAAAAAAAAATTATATAATTACACAAATTACACAAAATTAGCCAAGCCACTAATAATTTTCATTCGACATACTATCACTCTATCAGATACTATTAAAAAACTTATTAAGTCTGTTGGCTATCTCTTTTTGGAAATGATGTATAACATTAACACGACTTATGTTTCTCCTGTGAGAATTTACTATATTCAGTCTTATATCAAATATTTGGAACAAAAAAGTGAAACGCCGTGTTACATTTTTTATTGTACCTCTATAAACAAATTCCCGAGAGACCCAGTTTAAGGTTTATTTTCATTATAATTTTATAGTTTCCACTAAGAATTTGTTGAAATGTTAGTTGTCAAAACATTTCATTTTCTATTTTATTTTATTTCATTTTTATTTCATTTTTATCTTTTTATATTTTATTTTATTTTAATTTTAATTTTTTTTTTAATTTTTTTTTTTTTAAATTTTTTTTTCTTTTCTTTCACTCTTTTACCTTTTTAAATTCTTTATTGTTTATTCTTACTTACCCATTTTTGAAAATGTTAATATTTTAATCTTTGAATGAATTTACTTTACAAGAAAATTTTTAATTTTTATTATCAAACAATTGTCCTAATTTGATCCAAATAATATGAATTGAGGCCGATGAGGCGTATTATTAATATTATTTCGGTTATTTCTTTTTCTTAAAAAAAATCAAAAAAGGAAATCTGTTGAAAAAGACTTTTTTTTTTTTTTTTTTTTTTTGTTGTTTTTGAATGTTTTAATTAAGATTTTGATTAAGTGGCGAGAAACAAATATAAATTTCACGTGGCGCAGTCACTTTACATGTGTTACGTTTTTGATACATTAATATTTTATTACCTATGGGATGATCAAAATGATTCTATTGACCCCCAACGATAACAACGATAAAATTTTTTTTAAAACTTTCCGTAATGATGATATAATTAACTTTTTTTATTTCATCTTCTATTACACAATAATGTTATTTATGTATAAATATTTAATAATTGACGTAAATAATGTTTTAATTACATGTCGTGTCATAAGTATTATATAATTTGTCATCAACTGCCCATAAATTTTTTTTTTTTTTTTTTTTTTAAGGTTTCAAATAAACAATCTTTTTGAAGAGAAAAAGAGATCATCTAACATTTCTGAAATTGTAAATTCACGTTCAATGGATTAATTAATCAGGTAACTCAAAACAAAGATATCTTTTACCAAAAGTTATTTTAACTAACGGGTGATCATTATAATATCAATACAATTAAAAAAACTACAGGAAGTTCCCGAAGATATGTATATTATGTTGGCGTATTTGAATTTGGTTACTTCTTATAAATAGTCTTATTATGATAAGTTCGCTTTTTTTCAATGCAGCCTCTTTTTTTTTTTGAAGAAAAAAAAAAGAAACATCTATCTAAAAATCACGCTATTGAATCCTATATTCGGTCTCGGTAACACTAAATATATTATTTTATATTTCTTTAATATTGTAATTTCTTATTATTTTTATTATGCACATAACAAAATATCCAAAATATCTTGAAACCAAATTCGTGCGTGTTAAGGATCGGCACGCATCGGCGACTAATAATTTGTTTCTTTATTTTTCTGCAGCAAAAAGTGACCCAATTGTCTTTATCACCCAATAATAAGTTAACAGGTGAATATGATGTCAAAATTTCTCTCTTAAAAGACATTTGTGTTAAACAAGTTATTCTATATAATCTATATTGTTTTGGTTAATAGGAATTTACAATTTCTACTGTTCTTTATACTATATAATATGATTTTTCACATAATTATCATACCATTTCATTTACCGCAGTGTCACTTTTTATTGTAGTTATATATAAATTGTAGTTATATATAACAAATATTTAATGTAACGACCAGTTGACTTTTTTACGAAAGAAGTTCAGGAACCTTGAAATTGTGGGTGGTAACATAAAGGGATGGATATAAGGGGTATGGTTTTTTTTTTTTTTTGAAAAAAATTATATTACTAATAAAACATATGCATTTACGTAATAGTATAAGATTTTAATTTAAAATTATTAATTAATTTAAAATATAAATTCATTAAAAGGAAATAAATAAATAAATAAATAAATAAAAAAAAAAAATTAAATATTTTATCTTTTTTTTTTCTTTTTATTAATAAAATTATTAATTAATAAACCGGAATTAATAACCATTAAAAGCTTCATTTTTAATATTAAGTTGTGTTAAATTGTTATTCATGTAATATACGTTTATATATATAATGTAATTTGTTATATTTAAAATATATTATTGGGAATTTAATGTGAAAATCTTTTCATTATGTTATTTGTGTTACTTCTCGTGATCTGCGTGACCTTTTATTTTTATCGACCTTATTGAAAATATGAAACATGTTACATTTAATATAACAGATAACAGATAATAAGAGTTTTTTTTTTTCATAAGTATTAAAAGTCTGCGTGACCTTGTATTTTTTATCGGACTTATTGAAGAAATGAAACATGTTACATTTAATATAACAGATAATATTTATAAGTTTTTTTTTTTTCTTATTATTTATAATGTGATTTATAATATGAACTCTTAAAATATTATATATATTACTAAAATCCAAAATTTTGGATTTCAAATCCAAATTCCAGGTAATATATACCACATAAAAAATTATTTTTATTAAATTTTATTTATTTATTTATTTATTTTTATTTATTATTTTTTTTTTTTTTTGATAATAAATTTGAATTTTAAATTTAAAATTAAAATTTTTATTTTTATTTGCCAAAAGTAAATTTAAATATAGCAGATTACCAATCATATATTATTATATTATTTAAAATTCTTATATAATAAATAAATCCATTTCAAATTTCAAATTAATAAATTAGTTTAATATTTATTTTTTTTTAACTGAAACATTTGAGGAAATTAAAAGAATAAATGAATAATTTAAACAAATATAATATTAAATATATTAAAAAATTTGGAAAATTATATCACTTAATTTTTTTGGTAAAATTAAAAAAATTAAAAATCTTTAGTATTATTTAATTTTTTTGTAAAATTAAAAATCTTTTTACTACTTAATTTTTTTTAAATAAAGAAATGCTTTAAATGTATTTAAATATATGTATTTAAATTACTTTTAAAACTCTTAAAAATAGAAAAAGAAAGAAATAATATTAAGCTTTAAACTAAAATTATTTCAAACTGTATATTATTAATATTATTATTATATATATAAATATAATACAAGTTATATAATATAAAAATTATATATTTATTCTAAAATTTATTATATTTATTTATTATTTTTAATTTATTTTATTGTTTAAAGCAAAATAAGTAGTACAAAAATTTATATGTCTATGTCAATCATATTATATTTTAATTGTACAGTTAATCACATTATGTTATTATTAATTACTATTATGCAGTCAATCACATTGTACTTTAATTATATATAATTAATTACTGTTGTGTTCATTTTTAAAAAATAAATAAATAAATAAAATAATAAATAAACTATTTAAATAAAACAAAATTGCTTTAATATCACAATCTCCTTCAAGTGCAAAAAAAAAGTAATAAAAGTATAAAAAAAAAGTAGCAAAAGTATTGCAAGAAAAAGTAATACAAAAAGTACAAAAAAAGTAATATAATAAGAAGAAATATATCAAATACAGAAAAAATCCTTTTTATTTTTTAATTTCCTTTTTATTTCTTTAATTTTCTTTTTATCACTTTAATCTTCTTTTTATTTCTTTTATTTCTTATTTATTTTTTTTTAATTTTCTTTTTATTCCTTTTATTGTTTTCTTATTTTTTTGATTTTCTTATTTTTTTAATTTACTTGTCTTTTTTATTCCTTTTAATAGTAATTTTCTTTTTATTTTTTTAATTTTTTTTGATTTTTAATTTCCTTATTTATTTGATTTCTTTTTATTTTTTAATCTTCTTTTTATTCCTTTAATCTTTACTTCTATTTATTTAATTTCTTTTCTTTTATTTCTATTTTTTGATTTCCTTTTTTTTTATTTTCTACTTCAGTTCTTTTTTTTTATTTTTTTTTTTATTCATTTTATTTTTTTTTATTATTAATAATAATTTGAAAATTAGAATTTTTAAAGATTTTATTTAATTAAATTTATTTTTATTTTTATTTTTTTTTTATTTTCTACTTCTTTTTTTTTATTTTTTTTTTTATTCATTTTATTTCTCTTTATTATTAATAATAATTTGAAAATTAGAATTTTTAAAAGATTTTATTTAATTAAATTTATAAAAATCTTTAAAAAATATTCTCTATATTTGAAGATCTTTAATAAAAATTTTATAGAATTCTTAAGAATTTATAAATTTTAAAGATCTTAAAGAAATCTATAAACAATTTAAAAATCTTTAAGGATTTTTTTTATTTATAAAGAATTTTTAAAAATTTTATATTACTAATGATTCTCTTATATATATGTTGTGCTTCAGATTGATTTTTGCCTCAGATCAAAGCTCACGCACTTCAGATTAAAATTGTCATTTGACATACCTCATTTGAATTATGCAATAAAGTCTGTTATAAGTAAACTTTTTTTCTCATTAATTAAACTACTTTTTATAATATATTTAAACTTATGTATCATAATGAGTTACATGTTTTCTGAAATTTTTATGTAAATCTGATTTATATTGAAATTTATACTTGTGTTTTATCTGAAAATTATTAAATTTTAAGTCATTTTCAAATGAAAAGATTTTTATAAGTATGATTCCAACTATTCTGAAATTTTAGGATTGTATACTTAAAATTATAATAAATAAGTTTACTTAGTACTTAAAAATACATTAAAGTTAAAAAATTTGATGTTTAATTATAGCTTATTTTATTAGCAATTGAAATGCGTCAGGTGATAATCTAGATGTGTGAGCTTCAATCTGAAGTAAGAATCGATCTGAAGTACAATATATATATATTTTATTATTATTATTATTATACTCAAAGGAAATAGTAGAACTCTGCTTACTTATAATATAGGTCACCTTAGACTTAAGGTAAAAATCATATATAAAATTCTTTGCAGATTCTACTATAAAAGAAAATTTTATGTTACATTCGTTATAATTTTTTTCTTTTTTAGCTAATTAACCAGAATTTAAGAAAAAAGTAAGGTAAAAACTATTAGTAAAGGGTCAATTTTCTATAATAACCCTTATTATAATTTTAAACTGATAAAAATTATTAATTATTAAATAAACTATTATCTATTTTTAATTGTCATATTGATGTAACTTTACTATTTTATTAATCAAAAATAATAATATCATAATATATAATTATCTATTATTAATTGTTATATTGATGCAACTTTACTATTTTTTGATTTCAAAATAATAATATCATAATATATAAAAAATTAAATTAACAATAAAAAATATAAATTAATGGTTTTAAACTGATAAAAATTGTTAATTATTAAGTAAACTATTATCTATTATTAATTGTTATATTTATACTTCTCAGTAGAATTAAAAAGTCAATGTCAAAATATTACGGCATAGCCAAAAACAATTACGTCAGTACAAATGTTTACTAATAAAACATATAATTACAGCGAATTATGGCATTTTAATTACGTCTGTCATAATTCAAAAATTCAATTCCGCTGATAAGTATAGTTATATTGATACAACTTTACTATTTTATTAATTAAAAATAATAATATCTAATATATAAAAAATTAAATTAATAATAGAAAATATAAATTAATGAGTTTAAACTGATAAAAATTGTTAATTATTGAATAAACTATTATCTATTATTAATTGTCATATTGATGTAATTTTACTATTACTATTATTTATTTTTAATTGTCATATTGATGCAACTTTACTATTTATTAATCAGAAATAATAGTTTTAAACTAATAAAAATTGTTAATTATTAAGTAAATTATTAATTGTCATATTTATGCAACTTTAAATCAGAAATAATGGTTTTATACTGATAAAAATTGTTAATTATTAAGTAAACTATTATCTATTTTTAATTGTCATATTTATGCAATTTTACTATTTTATTAATCAAAAATAATAATATCTAATATATAAAAATATAAATTAATGGTTTTAAACTAATAAAAATTGTTTCCTATTATAGTTTACAAAAGAAATTAATTTGTCTAAAAAAAATATAGTTCAAATTTATTGATACAAAGTTTGCACAATAAAAAAATATATAAAAAGACCATATTTTTCATTTCATTTTTTTTCTTTTTACTACTGCTTCATTAAATTGAATTGGTTTAATGAAGCAGCCCAAGCCTTTGATAAAGTTATTACAATGAATTCAAATAGTATATCTGCTAATATCCTTTTAGCTATTATTAAATTTGATATTGCTAAACAACTTGATCCTTATAAAAATGTATTTGACAAATTAGTTTAACTATTGTGCAGATATGAATGGAATTAGCTTTTAATATTGATTCTACTTAATCCAGTATACTAATTCTTTTAGTATACAGGTTCTATTTTCAAGAAATATGACACATTTTTTGATACATTATAAGTTAAAAAAAAATTAAAAATATATAAAATACAATATTACAAAGTAATATAATTAGTAAAAAAAAAAAAAGTCTTCTGAAGCAATATATAATAATAATTAATACTTGGCTATCTTAGCTATTTTCTTAAAACAAACATTAGAACCTGATAAAAGACAACATATTGAACAGGAACTATTCAAAATAGAGGCTGAGCAAAAAGACTTTCCTATTGCTATTATATAGTTAGTTACGAGAGAAAATACCAAACAAAGTGTACAGTTTTCTGCGTTACTACTTTTAAGAATTATATAAGAAGAAATTGAGTGCAGAAAAAAAATTTAAACTTAACTCCAAAAATAAGAATGCGGTTGATATTTTAATATCTGTACTATCAAATATACAACTTCAACTAAGTGAAGCTGTATCTTTAATTGCTGAAAATGATTTCCTAATCAATGGTCACACTTGATCTTGCAATTAACTAGTAAATTTAGTTCAGAAGACTTTGCCAGAAATAATGCTGTTTTGCAAACTGCTCATTCAATATTTAAAAGGTATAAGTTAAAATTCTGAACTGATCCGTTATATAATGAAATCAACTTTGTTCTAGATCAATATTTAAGAAAGTGAAATTATGATTTATAAAAGAAAATGATCAAAATGATCAAAAAAAAATGTTATTGAATAATAAGAACTTAAGCAATAAATATATTTCATTTGAGATTACAAAAATTGAATTTCTTATTAATATATAAGAAGTGATAATTCTAAAAGATTATGCATATTTTATTATTTAAACAAAAACTGCAAAATTGACTTCAAATATTGGACTAAAGATTAAATGCTAAATTTGGTAAAAGTATTAACTTGATAATGGATGAAGATGAAGAATTTTATATTAAGTCCATTAATTATAAAAGAATTAAAAAAAATTATTCAAAAAAGCAAGATCATGAAAGAAAATAATCAAAAATGGTCAAAAAAGAATGTTATTAAATAACAAGAATTTGAGACTAGATTAGGCAATGAACATATTTTATTTGAGACTGCAAAATTACATACAAGAAAGTAATGATCTTGAAGGATTAGAAATAAAGAATTTTATATTTATTATTACACTAATCACATGAAATGATATGGCTACAAATTTCTTAAATTTGAGTTTTATACTGATAAATGATATCATTATGCTAATAACTCAAATTACAGAAATAATAGTATATACTACAAGTTCATTAATAATAAAAGAATTGAAAAAATTATTCAAGAAAGTAAAATCATAAAAGAAGATGATCAAAATAATCAAAAAAAATGATAAAAACTTGAGATTAAATTAAGCAATAAATTGAATTTCACACCTATCTAAATACTTTATTGCTCTTGTAAAAGAGTTAGATATTCTCAAACCAAATACACCAGAAGATATTTATAAGAGCCATCTAGAAAATATTCAATCAGAATTTACAAGCAAAAGTGTTGATTCAGTATGACAAAATTTAGCATCCACTTTTGTAAATGCTTTTGTTAATACTGGATTATTACATGGAACAATATGACTACAATTCTACAAATTTCTTGAATTTAAGTTTTGCATTGATAAATGATATCATTATGCCAATAACTCAAATTACAGAAATGATAGTATATACAAGTTCATTAATAATAAAAGAATTGAAAAAAATTATTCAAGAAAGTGAGATTATAAAATAAGATAATCAAAATGATCAAAAAAAAATGTTATTGGATGAGATTAAATTAAGCAATAAATTGAATTTCACACTTATCTAAATATTTTATTGCTCTTGCAAAAGAATTAAATGTTCTCAAACTAAAGACATTAGAAGATATTTATAAGAACTATCTAGAAAATATTTGATTAGGATTTATGAGTGGAAGTGTTGATTCAGCATGACAAAATTTAGCATCCACTTTTGTAAATGCTTTTGTTAGTGCTAGATTATCATATGGAACGATATGGTTACAAATTTCTTAAATTTGAGTTTTGTATTAATAAATGATGTCATTATGCTAATAACTCAAATTACAGAAATAATAGTGTATACAAGTTTATTAATAATAAAAGAATTGAAAAAAATTATTCAAGAAAGTGAGATCATAAAAGAAGATGATCAAAATGATCAAAAAAAATGTTATTGGATGATAAAAACTTAAAATTAAATTAAGCAATAAATTGAATTTCACACTTATCTAAACACTTCATTGCTTTTGCAAAAAAATTAAATGTTTTCAAACCAAACATCAGAAGATATTTATAAGAGCTATCTAGAAAATATTTGATCAGAATTTACAAGCAAAAGTGTTGATTCAGCATAATAAAATTTAGCATTTACTTTTGTAAATGCTTTTATTAATGCTAGATTTGCTAAAGATAAATTAATCTTAATAGAGGATGGTATAATGTGAATTTATAAAAATAAAGACTATGGAATATTAAGCATAACTGCTTCTATCGGTATGATTATGTTATGAGAAGTTGATCTTAAATTGTTGCATATTGATAAATATTTATACTCTAGTGAAGATCATATTCAAGCCAGTGCTCTTTTTGGCATTAGGCTTATAAATACTGGAGTTCGTAATGAGAATGATCCAGCTTTTGCTTTACTTTCAGAAAGTAAAAAAAGGCCTATATTTAAGAAAGTAAGATTATGAAAGAAAATAATTAAAATGATCAAAAAAAATATTATTGGATGATAAGAACTTGAGATTAAATTAAGCAATAAATATATTTCATTTGAAATTGCAAAAATTAAATTTTTTATTGACATATAAGAAAGTGATAATTCTGAAAAATTAGCATATTTTATTATTTAGACAAAAACTGCAAAATTGATGGGCTAAAGATTAAATACTAAATTTGATAGAAGTATTAATTTAACAATGGGTGAAGATAAAGAATTTTATATTAAGTCCATTAATAATGAAAGAATTGAAAAAAATTATTCAAAAAAGCAAGATCATAAAAAAGATGATCAAAAATGATAAAAAAAGAATGTTGTTAAATAACAAGAATTTAAAATTAAATTAGGTAATGAACATATTTTATTTGAGACAAAAATTGAATTTCTAGTTGACGTACAAGAAAGTAATGATTTTGAAGAATTAGAGATAAAGAATTTATATTTATTACTATACTAATCACATGGAATAATATGGCTACAAATTTCTTGAATTTGAGTTTTGTACTGATAAATAATGTTATTATACTAATAACTCAAATTACAGAAATGATAGTGTATACAAGTCCATTAATAATAAAAGAATTGAAAAAAATTATTCAAGAAAGTGAAATCATAAAAGAAGATGATCAAAAATGATCAAAAAAAAAATTTTTAAAGAAAAATAAATAAATTTTATTAAAAATTTTAATAAATTTTATTAAAAATTTTAATAAATTTTATTAAAAATTTTAATAAATATTATTAAAAACTATTTAAAAATTCTAACAAATACTTAAAAATTTTTTTAAAAAAATTATTAAAAAATAACTTAAATAAAATTTTTAAACAAAATTAGAGTTAAAATTTTAAATACCTTATATGCCCAATATGTAATATGTATAATATAGTAAGTTTTATGCAAAAATCTAGGTATATACTATAAAATAAAAGAAAATACATTTTGTTATATATCTCACCACCCAGTGATTGTAAAAAGATGAAACACAGCTCATTGGATTCGTCTTGACAAGACGAATCGAATGGTAGTAGTTTCGTATTTCTAGGTGGAATAGATATTAAGCTATACCACACATTGGCACTTTGTATTTTTCTTTACTGTACATTTTTACATTTTATCACATAACTCAGCATCTATCACACCTAGAAATATGAAACTACCACCATTCGACTCATCATATTGAGACGAATCTAATAAGCTGTGTTTCGTCTCTCTACAATCACTGAATGCCAAGATATGTAATAAAATGTATTTTTTTTAAATTTTATAAATGAATTTTAAAAAAATTTCTTAATTTCTATTAAAAAAAAAGTCTTAAAACGAACTCCTAAAAACTTCTCAAACAAAAAACAATTTCTATTAAAAAATATTTCAAGTGTTTTTTAAAACAAATAAAAAAACTCTTTATTGAAAAATATCTTAAAATTTCTTAAACAAAAAATAAAAAAAAAACTTTGAAAAATTTTAAACATTTTAAACATATATAAAAAAAATTCTAATATCCATTATACAAAAATAAAAATCTTACTTATAGTAAAATCATTATTGTTATACAAATAAAAATCTGACTTTTTGTGTAACTGCTATTTGGTTATACAATTTCAAACATATGAATTATTAAGAAATTACATAGTAAGTTTATAAAATTAGATCCCAGTATTATATATATTCTTTGGGATCCTATTATTATTCATATTAATAATAAAGAATGCGTATAAGATAGTAGGATCATAATAACTTCTTAATAGATCTGAGAAATAGCATATTTTTGTAATAACATTAATTCTACAGCTACAAGGTGTAGATATGCATCACTAAAGCTCTGAATGGGTGGTTTGGTCTGAATTATAGACGGTTTAGATTAGAGCCAAAATCTGTAAGAACCGAACTGAAAAACTGGCGATTCAATTCAGTTTAATCCGATTTTTATAAAAATGCGAAAAATTGCATAACTATCTATTTAGTGATCGTACAAAGTCGAGCCATATATCATTGGATTCGTCTCGACGAGACGCGTCAAATGGTGGTAAGATCATATCTTTAGCATCGATAGATCACAAGTTAACCCACGCTAAATGATTTATCAATAATTAGAATTAGCAAGCTATCTATCGGTGCTAGAGACATAGTACCATTCGACGCGTCTCAATGAGACGAATCCAATAAATATAAATTCGTCCGTGTATGACCACTGGATGGCGAATAATATTAAGTTTCGCATTTTTTTAAAAATTTCGAGCGTTAAAAATTAAAATTCTGATACATGAATTTATTTGTCGTCCAATGGTCGTACAAATATGAATTAGAATTCATTGGATTCGTCTCGATGAGATGAGTCGAATGGTGGTAAAATCACATCTCTAGCATTGATAGATAGTTTGCTATTAATGCCAATTTTTTATAAATTATTTAGCATAAATTAACTTACGATCTATTAATCATCATCTCATCAAGACAAATCCAATAAGGCCTAATTTATATTTGTATGACCATTGGATGACAAATAAATTCATGTATCAGAATTTTTAATTTTTAACGCTCAAAAATTTTAAAAAAATGTGAAACTTGACATTATTTACCATCCAGTGGTCATACATAAGGATGGCAATGGTCGGTCATGGTCAGTTATCGGTCGGTCATAACTGATTATGGGTCTTTGACCGACCGAACATTTTTGCTGACCATTTTTCTGACCGTTTAACCGACCATTTAACCATTTTTTTTAGTGAATTTAATTAAGAAAAAATGTTAAAAAGGTTTTTTTCTATTAAATCTGCTAACAAAAACATTATACAACTTTTTTTATTGATTAAGTTCATAAAAAAAGTGTTAAATGAATAGGGTTGGTTAAATGGTTAGTTAACGATCGGTTAAATGATCAGTTAAATGGTTGATCAAACGGTTGGTCAAAAATGGTCGGTCAGAGCTTTTGACTGACCAATATCAATCACGGTTATTAACTGGTCATAACCAGTTATGACCGTAACCATTGCCATCCCTAGTCATACATGGACGAATTTATATTCATTAGATTCATCTCACTGAGACGCATCAAATGGTGCTAAGATCATATCTCTAGCACTGATAGATAGCTTTCTAATTCCAATTATTTATAAATCATTTAGCGTGGGTTAACATGTGATTTATCAATGCTAGAGACATGATTTTACCGCCATTCAATGCGTCTCATTAAGACAAATCCAATGATATATAGCTCGACTTTGTATGATTACTAGATAGATGGCTATTCGATTTTTCGCATTTTTATAAAAAATCAGATTAAATTAAACTGAATCGCCAGTTTTTTAGTTCTAATACCCAAACTAAACTGAATCGAATTTTGAGCCAGTTTCAGATCGGTTTTCCAGTTTAGCCTGAACCGTTCGGAGCTTTATGCATCATGACATATGGGCTGATTTGTCTACCTTTAATTAAAATATTGATTTTATTACATTTTTATTATACAAAATACTATATAATATACAGTAAATTGGGGATGAGTATTAAAAAATTTTTATTTAATGTTATTATACTATAATTTGGTAAATATTTCTTTTAAATTAATATAATTCTTAGCACTTACTATATATGTTAAAAATTTGTATTTCAACTTTAAACGTAAATATCTCCAGATCCAGTGATCCAATCGGCAAGCTCTTTTTTCGTTCATATAGACCAGATCAAGGGCTTTCCAAAGAGCCTAAATTTATAAAAAATGGATTAGTGGATCCCAAGATATTTGCATTTAAGCATGTTAAAAAGTTCGTACCTCAACTTTAAATGTAAATATCTCTGGATCTAATGATTCAATCGGCGAGTTCTTTTTTCGCCTATAACGTCCAGAACAAGGGCTTTTCAACGAGCCTAAAATTATAGAAAACGGATCAGTGAATCTTGATATATTTGCATTTAAAGATAGTAATACAAACTCCGACATAAAATAATTATTTTTATTGTTTAAAAATATCTATTATGATACCATCTTTTATATGATATTTTTATTATATTTTTATAAACATTTATAGCTGCTAAGACTATATAAATTTTTATTTTACTTTATATTTTATTAAAATATACTTACTTTTTAATAATATATGTTAAAAATTCCATATATATAAGAAATGGGTTTTTTATTAGTGAAATGGGTTTTTTCACAGCTTTTTTACATTTAATAATTTAAGTTTCGCAAATGTAAATTTTTGTTCAACTTATTATTTAGTCAAGTGATCATCAATCAGATGATTTTTTGGTATTACAAAACAATTTTGAGTAACAAAAATTATGAAAATCAATTTAATAACTCCTTTTAATGCAGAGTAAACAAATCAGCCCATATGAGGTATATTTTCTATATCTTGTATATATGCAATTAATTGATTGCAATTTTTTTTTTAACATAATTAATATTAAATGTTTACACTATATTCTTTATTTTCTACAGTAAATTCAAAGTCTTTAAAACTATTTGATCTTTGGGATTGTAAAAGCCATAATTGAGTTTTCAAAGTGTACTTGTTTTTTTTTTGCAAGACCTTTACTAGCACGTTTAATTTGTGTGATTCTTTATAAAATTTAATTTACATTACCTTTGTGATTTTTATTGATGCATTTTAATTGAAGTTCAAAGAGATGAATTTCAAAAATAGCAATTCTATTATCTAATATTATAATCCAGTAAAATAATATTAAAATACATTTTATTATAATTTTTTTTAAATAATAAATATATAGTAACTTAGCGAATATAATAAAAATTAGAAAAAAAATTTTGGTATTATCATAGTTCAGTGATTTGTCCATTATTCTAATTGGTCCATAAAATTTAGGGGTTATTTTTAAAATTTAGGGTTAGAGTAAAGATTAGCGTATATAAATATCAAATTATTTATATTATATTTACATATCTTACTAAATTTCTTAACAAAAGTATTTGAAAAATATATTAAAAATACATAAAAGATATTTTTCTGAAATATTATAAGATGTCTATAAGCTATTATTATAGCAAATGAAAATAGAATTTAATGATAAATTTTTATTTTAATTAATAACTAAAGATGCAATAAATGTATTGTACTTAAATTTTTACTTTTACTTTATTAGTATATATATAATTTTTTCATTTTGAAAAATGTCTGCATATCCATCATTGATCATCCTCTGTAATATTATATTTAATTATTAATAATTAAACTTCCATCATTTAATATTATATTTTAATTAGCTAATGCTCATTTTATATGGAAGTAAAAAAGTAAAGTCTTATATTAAACTAATATTATATATGTTCTTATTTTATCATG